AAATAAATGAACTTGATAAAACTTGGTGACGGTTTCTCAGATTTCCCTCTTCTTAAAAATGAGAATTTGATGTCAGATTTAAGAAAACAAAAAAAACTAGTTGGATGTGGCGAAATCGTTACCGCAAGTATACTTAAGTAAAATTAACAATAAATTTTTCCGTTTTTTTTGTTTAAAAATCATTGCCATCGTTGTAATTAGGCGTTGCGAAGCCAAGCATTTTCGTTGGTGTGCCCAAAAATCAAATAAACCGTTTCTATAAGTTGGACGGTAAGGAGCTATTCATAACAAATCACGATCGTATAACGATATGTTCACCTAACTAATGAGTTTCATAATCTCCGAATTTATTTTTTATTTATTTTAACACATAGATTTTGATACAAGGAGGCACCAAATACATATGCGCCACACAAATCTCATTCGATATGTTTAAGGGCTGTGATACTGCCCGGGTGCCCAAACCGAAGCACGTGATGTGCTTAGGGGGCCACACCCGGAGCCTTCAACCTGAAGGTCTGATTCACAAGGCAGTGGAACATCGTAAGGAGATGCAGTCCCATGGTAGCCGGTGACCAACGACTGGTTCATACGCCATTTGTTCCTTCAGGATATTGAAGCCCATGTGCACCATTGGTTTGGAATCAGGGTTTTCCAACTCCCCTAGGTGGACTCTCCATGTCCACCAACCCGGTTAAAGCGCCGGACATTCGCTTTTCGTCCTCTCAATTTCGTAAACAACACACCCGCCACGATAAGGCAATGAGTAGGACTTCCCCGGCAGAGGCTATATAGGCGTGGCCATGTGAGAGCATTTCGAGAGGGAGAGCGGATTCTCCCCACTCTAGGCCGTACCAGGGCATTTGGGGGCAATCTCCGAAACTTCAGCCACACAGTTCGTTAACAAACAAACAAAGTATGGATTCCTAGACGCTGAATGTCAACAACTGTACTCGATGGTTTTCACTGCTCATTTACAAATACTTATTTGACTTCATGTTAGAAACTCATTTCTAAAAAAGGGACAGTTAGGCAAATATGTTGTAAACATTATAGTTAGTGAGAATATTTAATTCATCAGGCTAATGAAAAACAAAAATTCACCTGATTTGTAGCTAGATCAAATACTTTTAGTGCAATATCCTGTTCACGCCAAAGACCTCGATAAACTTTTCCAAATGCTCCTGAGCCAATAAACTGTAACAGAAGTGAATAATACGAGTACAGTTAATTAACTAAAATAATTTTATCTAACAGAAGAAAAAACTCCAACCCATTTATATGTTAACAAAACTAGTATGTGGCATGGTTTAATAGAAAACCATACTAACCAGTAAAGAAGCCATTTTAATCATTAAACGCCATTAGATAAAATGCTATTAAGCTCTAAATCAATGTGTACCATAGCCAAACAACAACAAAACTAAACTTGAGAAGACTAAGAGGAAGAAAATAAGTCTGTATGTGACAAACTAAATGGAATTCATAACTTTTAGCTATAGCACTTACTTCTTTTAACCACAATAAATATTATCAAAGCAAATAGTGTGCTCGATTAGAGCATTCGATAATTTTTTAAGGAAACAGATATGAATTTTATGTATTTCATCACCATATTTTAAACTTTGAAGAATATTACCCTACAAGATTTCCAGCTTGTTGTCCACTTAAAGACGTCTGATCACCTTTATTACCTTTCTTTACATGAGGCGTCCAAACCACAACAGCTACGTCAGAAGAAAGAAGCAAACAAATGAAAACTGGGTAATTCTCAAAAGTAGAGTTTAGATACAACACAAACATTCTATATACCCGATACACGCAAACGACAGACAAACTCTAAATCTCAGTGAAAAAGTATAAATTACTTTTTGAAAGGCCTCAGGCAATTAAATAATGCTACACTACTACTCTTGGAAATCTAAATGTGAGGACCGCCCACGGATGAACTCAGGGAAGTTCTAAGAGTCTCAGGAAGAGCCGGAGACATTCCATCCAATCATCTTTTGGAATAGCATTCCAGAATCTCGACGTGTAGCTTCCCTATTGGACAAAAACTAAAAACCACTGAATGCAGATTGGATGATTATAATGATGATTTCACTTTTACTAAAAACTATAAATACAACAACATAATGCAATTTCATACTGCGTACGTTAAATTCAAATTTCCGCTTGTTCCTCGTAGAAGTACTGAACTTATTGGGATTAGTAGTATTTCATTAGACAATTTCGAATTCGCATGTGACCTTCAAATGTAGGTATTCGTACGTCACCAATATTTGGTCGTAAGTTTTTTCGAAACATTGATTTCGCATTATGGGACAATCTATTGAGCGATGTTAAGGTTGGACGCTAGGTACTAATTAAAAATAGTAGATCGATTGATGAGGTTGCAAAATGTCATCGACTTAACTGGTTGAGATATGTATTACGTATCCCAAAATACTGGTTACCACGACATCCAATGTCGGTAAGACTAAGGACAAGTTAGCTCGTAAAGTCATCGACTGTTGACTTGAGACATTTTGGATAGTTAAGACTTTCTGACTGGAGTTCAGAAAATTATCCTGATCAAAGTTTGAAGATACTGCGTAACACGGATCAAAATCGGGCACAGTGGCATATATTAGATTATGAGTTTCAGAATTATTTTATTTAATACATTAATTCACTTATTTTCGAACCACATGACCTGTCTAATATTTTCTACCATCACTGATATTAATGACAACTTTATATCGCTTTGCTGATGTAGTGGGAAATGAAACCGACACATTTATACCAGGTTTTACTTTTAGTATGACCAACTGGCGAAAATTTCACTAATCAAATAAATATTGCCTGAATACTCTTAGACAAACTTTTTATTTTACTTTGCAATAAAACGCACCTGTTGTTGCACTAACTCAGTAGCAGGAATTGTTCTAACATGACTGTGTCTAAGGATTACGTCACTGTCGGGTAACTTTTTGTCGAGAGATATCTCTTCCTTTGTTTTTACAGTTATAGTTTTGTCCGTATTGTTACCTATCCCAAATGTGACATCATTCCATTTATTTGGTTCAAAAGAATTAGCTTTCATTTCATTCGCTCCTGAAGATTCACTGTTTGCAATGTCATCTGCATTTAAAACATATCCACTAGGAAACACACCAACATAACCTGTTTTTAGTTCTTGGCCAACCCACCATCCTTCAGCTCCAGAATGTCGACAGTCTTTGGACAAAATCTGTAGTAGATTAAAAGGATTCAAAAACCAGAACCAATGAAATGTAGAGAGTATCAACTCACGAATTGATTTCCTAGAAGTGACAAACTCGAAAACTTTAGCAACATATGATTTTAAATTTTCGAATAACAATGTTGTAGATAGAACGAAAAGTGATGTAAAAGCCGTAAAACCTAAAATGTTATTTTATAAGCAAACACTAGATTGGGTCGTAACAAGAAATAACCAGAATTCTTCGTAAATTAAAACGTAACTTCTTAACTGAATGAAATCTAAGTTGACTGCTTTATTAAATACACTTTATCTTTTAGTAAAAACAATCCCTGTTTATTTATCTATTGATCACATGACCTTTTCTTATGTTGTTTATTCACAGTATTATCATTTCAGTTATGTGGTGAAAACTTCCACTAACCTGTAGTACCAAATTTTTGTTAGGAATATAATACAAAACAGGACTTAAGCTGTTGAGGTTTAATATATTGATATCTTACTTGAATAAGATGGGTTTCCGAGGCAGACGATAGCACAAAAAGATTTTGAACTGAAAAAGTGAAACATTCTTCTCGTCCATGCATACATCAGAAGAAAATTTCACCAATTGTTTCGAAAAACAAGGTTATAACCTGTTTTAAGACTGAAGAATATGATTAACTTTAGGTTTTAGGAAGTATATCTATTTTTCACAGCCATAGAAGCAGTGACTGGAATGTACATACATTATTCTATACATGGGGATTGATTCACCTTGGAAATAGCGTTAAGATCCTGTGCTTTGAAGATATCAGAAATCATTCTATAGTATATGGCACTTCTTTATATTCACTGAAATCTCTCCACTACAAAGTGGAGAAGACTGATTGAACAAATTTCAGGATGACAGAGTTTAAACTCGTGTCCACAGCTACATTACTACTTTGAAAATTGTTAAGGAGAGTAAGTTGAACTTCGCTTTGTATACTTAATTTAGCTACACCAATATCCAGTTACTGGTGCTCCTCCAGTTTATCTCCCTGATAAAACAAAATATCGGCTGATCACTACCAACCTCTAATGTCATTCAGATTTCAGAATTTTCCTATCGAACCCGTAGAGGATCGGCACTTCAGAATACATTATTACTAATCCGGTATGAAACAAACAAGGCGGATCTGGATGACATAACAAGAATAATAAGCAACCAATGGATAAGGTACAAGGCACAACAAAATACCTAACTAGATCATCCATAGAAACAAGAATCCTATACTTCTACTGGAAGATACAGATTGACGTCAATACCTTGAAGACTTGTGGCAAATAATTGTTTCAAACTAATTCTACCCAGTAATCATATACCACGCCACTTAGAAACTCAGGGTGGATAGTGAATCCATTCGTCTTATTTTGTGCAGATTTGCAATTTAGTCAAGTTCTTACTATGTTTTCTCATTTTAGTAGCGAATGTATCAATTGAATTCGTAAGGACCAACTGTTAGGCAAAGTTTTAAAACCATAAACAAATACCTTAATTTTTTGACCCGTTCGTAGATTTATTTCGTCTGAATGCTGGGGCATGTACGAGTAAATTGCAGTAACGTATTCAGAAGAAGCTTCGCAATGTTCACCAGAGTATATTGGATCCATTTTACTACTGGCTAGTGTATTGTATTCTGTGGCGCTCTCCTGATAAGAAATAGGTTTATCTTCTACCATAGTTATGTACATGAAAATTCCAAGAATATATTGAAAGACGCAAACCAGTATATCACATGCAATGGACTCTTGTTTATTCAGTAAGTAACGCGGATAAATGAAGAATAAAGGTCAAAATTCCGGTAACTGGTCAAAGGAATCGAAACACACGAATATAAAGATAAAGGACAAAGAGAATGAATATTTAGATGAATCCCTTGATAATTTGAATTTGTTACTGTTTTTAAATTATATCACATTCCTATTTTAGGAGTAATAATACCCATCTAATATTTCTTAGTAATCTGCATCCAGCAGATACTTTTGACTTTATACTGATACAAATAACTTTACTAACTATAGATTTGATGAACATGGAAATATCATTTAAATCCTTGTTAACTGAAAATGTCAAAGGAACAAATTTTACTGAATCCCTTAGACAAAAGCTTGAAAACAGATTATATTTTGTCCCTACTAAATGCGTCCGTTTAATAATGAGCAGCGTAGTGACAGAGTAACTCCATCTGGAGTCCCTCCGGGGGCTACTGCCGGTCCCAAGCCCGGATAAAGGAGGAGGGTTGGGCATGGGGTTAGCGTCCCCATCCCGTAGAAAACTAACTCGCTAAAAAAACGCCAACCAGAAAAAATTATTCAAACCTTTTAAACTCTGCCCTGGGAGTTAGAAGGTCTTCATTTAGAATTATGACGCCTCATGATGAAAGCCGAATTCCTTCGGAAGTTACGAGGCCGATGCCCCTTCTGACAACCAGGGCGACCATTTATTTAGGTACATGGAATGTTTGTACAATGTGGGACACCGGGAGAGCCTTCCAAATTGCTGCAGAAATGAGAAGATACAACCTAGAGGTACTTGGGATCAGTGAAACACATTGGACACAAGTTGGACAACAACGACTAACTACAGGAGAGCTCCTGTTATACTCCGGCCATGAAGAAGAAAATGCACCACATACATAAGGAGTTGCATTGATGCTGTCCAAACAAGCGCAAAATGCGCTTATAGGATGGGAATCTCATGGACCAAGGATCATCAAAGCCTCCTTCAAAACAAAGAAGGAAGGCATTCCAATGAACATCATCCAATGCTATGCGCCTACCAACGACTACAATGAAGACGCTAAAGATCAATTCTACGATAAGCTGCAGTCAATCGTCGAGAAGTGCCCAACAAGGGACCTGACTATTCTGACGGGAGATTTCAATGACAAGGTTGGAACGGACAACACTGGATATGAAGACATCATGGGACGACACGGACTGGGAGAAAGAAACGAAAACGGTGAGAGATTTGCAAATCTATGTGCCTTCAATAAGCTGGTCATAGGCGGCACCATATTCCCACATAAACACATACACAAAACCACATGGACTTCACCGGATCACTCTACACAAAACCAAATCGACCATATTTGCATCAACAAAACGTTCAGGAGGACTATAGAGGACGTGAGAACCAAGAGAGGAGCTGATATAACATCAGATCATCACTTGCTGGTCGCCAAGATGAAATTGAAACTCAAGAAGCACTGGACAACGGGGCGGACAATATCATAAAAGTTCAATACGGCCTTTCTTCAGGATACTAACAAACTCAACAAATTCAAGATAGTCCTCAGCAACAAGTTCCAGGCCTTTCATGATCTACTCAATGGAGAAGAAACTACTGTGGAGAGCAACTGGAAGGGGATCAAAAAGGCAATCACTTCAACATGTCATGAGGTACTGGGTCACAAGAAGCACCATCACAAGGAATGGATCATTGTTGACACACTGGAAAAGATTCAAGAAAGGAGGAACAAGAAAGCAGCAATCAATACCAGTCGAACAAGAGCAGAAAAAGCCAAGGCACAAGCTGAATACACAGAAGTTAACAAACAAGTGAAGAGGAGCATCAAAACCGACAAACGTAAATATGTGGAAGATTTAGCAACGGCGGCGGAAAAGGCTGAAAGAGAAGGAAAGATGAGACAATTGTATGACACGACAAAGAAACTCTCTGGAAATCGCCGCAAACCAGAACGACCAGTGGAAAGCAAGGAAGGCAAGGTAATCACCAACATTGAAGAGCAACAAAACAGGTGGGTAGAACACTTCAAAGAACTCTTGAATCGACCAGCTCCACTAAACCCACCCAACATCGAAGCAGCACCCACGGACCTCCCAATCAATGTTGACCCACCAACAATTGAAGAAATCAGCATGGCCATCAGACAAATCAAGAGTGACAAAGCAGCAGGACCGGACAACATCCCAGCAGAAGCACTAAAAGCAGACGTAGCGACAACTGCAAGGATACTCCACATTCTCTTCAATAAGATTTGGGATGAGGAACAAGTACCAAAAGACTGGAAAGAAGGACTTCTGATCAAAATACCGAAGAAAGGCAATCTCAGCAAGTGTGATAACTACAGGGGCATCACTCTTCTCTCAATACCGGGAAAAGTCTTCAACAGGGTATTGTTAAACAGGGTGAAGGACTGCGTAGACGCCCAACTTCGTGACCAACAGGCAGGATTCCGTAAGGATAGATCGTGTACAGACCAAATCGCAACTCTACGGATCATCGTGGAACAATCAATTGAATGGAATTCATCACTCTACATCAACTTCATTGACTACGAAAAGCATTTGACAGCGTGGACAGAACAACACTATGGAAGCTTCTTCGATACTACGGTGTGCCCGAGAAGACAGTAACATACGAAACTCCTACGATGGATTAAACTGCAAAATCGCGCATGGGTAACAGCTGACAGACTCGTTCGAGGTAAGGACAGGTGTCAGGCGAGGTTGCTTACTCTCACCCTTTCTCTTTCTCCTGGTGATCGACTGGATCATGAAGACGTCAACGTCTGAAGGGAAGCGCGGGATACAATGGACATCTAGGATGCAATTAGACGATCTAGACTTCGCAGACGATCTGGCCCTTCTATCCCAAACGCAACAACAGATGCAGGAGAAGACGAACAGTGTGGCAGCAGCCTCACCACCAGTAGGTCTCAATATACACAAACACAAAAGCAAGATCCTTCGATACAACACAGAATGCACTAATCCAATCAAAATTGACGGAGAACACTTGGAAGATGTAAAGAACCTTTACGTATTTGGGCAGCATCATTGATGAACAGGGTGGATCTGATGCAGATGTGAAGGCGCGGGTCGGCAAAGCAAGAGCAGCATATTTACAACTGAGGAACATCTGGAACTCAAAGCAACTGTCAACCAACACCAAGGTCAGGATTTTCAATACAAATGTCAAGACAGTTCTACTGTATGGGGCAGAAACCTGGAGAACAACGAAAGCCATCATCCAGAAAATACAGGTGTTTATTAACAATTGTCTACGCAAAATACTTCAGATCTATTGGCCGGACACTATTAGCAACAACGTACTGTGGGAGAGAACAAACCAGATCCTAGCGGAAGAAGAAATCAGGAAGAAGCGCTGGAAGTGGATAGGACACACATTGAGGAAAGCACCCAACTGCGTCACAAGACAAGCCCTCACATGGAATCCTGAAGGTCAAAGGAAAAGAGGAAGACCAAAGAACACATTACGCCGAGAAATGGAGATAGACATGAGAAAAATGAACAAGAATTGGATGGAACTAGAAAAGAAGGCCCAGGACAGAGTGGGTTGGAGAATGCTGGTCAGCGGCCTATGCTCCATTGGGAGTAACAGGCGTAAGTAAGTAAGTAAGTAGTGACAGAGTACATTGGTTACTTTTGTTCACTTGGGTATCCAACATGACGAGTTATTGCTTCACAAAATACTTTCGTCGAGAAGAAAACATTATTTATCTTGACCATTTTGCAGAACCTATACCATAATTGAAACATCTAATGTCTGTTAGGACGTAAAGATATCATACAATTGCTTATTACCCTATACTAATATAAGGTTGCGACATATGGTCAATGAAACCAAACGGTATAACTGAGCGAATAAATACGGACACAAAGCTGGTGATACTATGTGGCCTTCCAAACTACAAATGCGCGCCATAACAAACTTACAAGTATTCGGAGAATATTTTTGTACATGATAGGAACACTGAGTAAGTAATGTCAAGATTAAGTTCAACGTTACAAGCAAAATAGATCGGCAAGTTAAATTTGTAAATGTGCACCTACTGACGATTGTGTATTGGTTAAAAGAAAGAGTAATGACTTCAGTACGTAGCATTTATCTCTGAAGTCAATGACTTTTGGCCTGGACTATATACGGGATTGATGACTAACAGGAATTTGTGGGATGTCAGACATACGTAGTTTAACAAATAAGGCAATATGGACTGAAATAGACCATAACGGTAGAGATACAGTTGCTTCCTGTAAGTCATGAATAATAAAATTCAGTGTTTAGTTTGTCCGAGTTGAAGTGGGAACATAAAGATTACAGTACCTCGGTTGGTCGAATACAGCGTAGAATCCAAAACATGTGTACGTCAGTTAAAGTTTTCATAGAAAAACGAAATTGTTACGTAAAATCTGGCAGCAGTAGAGGCTATAACAGGACTAATAGTTATAGAAAAGACTGGGTATCGGAGATGAGGTTCGGGATCATATATAATTTTTAAAACGATAGAAATTTTATGAGGAATCTAGAAACTTCAGATATAAGGGCAGACAAAGGTGAATGCACCTGCGCCAATATGAACGATTTAGAGTAATATCGTTCAAAGTCTAACCACTGGTCACCATTATCAGGCGGACCCCAACCACTTAGTTTGCACCTACCTACATGGTCCAGTCCAACAGCTAGTGTTTTCATGGACTGGTGACATACCTTGTTTTGGCCTCCCCCATCTGCCATGCAACCTACTACACTAATCACCATCGCGCGTCAACGTGGTTCGTGGATGATTATACGTAGATCATGTTCCAATCATCTAAGTCGACGATAAGCAGATATTTGTATTGTCATTCAATCGAGCAGAGGACAGATAACGGTCAACTTGAATTCAGTTCAAAGGCGTTTATCTCAATTTCGAGTTGAATGGTGGTTTAGTGGTCAAATGAAATGGTTTCAAACAAAAAGTTGTATGTCCAAACTCAACCCTATCTGTTTTAATTTGAGCAGTTTAATGACGGTAGCTTTCAAATATAAAAATTGTGTAATTTCATAAAGTTGCTAATGTTTGAAACCTTGACTTAAAAGTTACCTAATGCACCAACATTGAGCTGAGTAGGACCTACAGTCTTGTTTTTAAACAACGCTGTCTGTGAGCTCATCATGTGGTCAGATATCAAGTAATATTATGATAGTACCTTAAGGTTTAACTGTCAACCAACTAGCCTTAGACACATGATGTTAATTGTGTACTTGAAAGTATAAACACCAGTACACAGGGGCACCAGATACATATACGCCACACAACAATGTAGTAGCAATTATCATTGGTTTGTATGTGGGCTATGACACTGTCCGGGTACCAAACTGAAGCAGGTAATACCTTCCGTTTTTTCTGTCGTAATTTACTTAAAAAGATCTATAACACAAGATACAGGTAAAAAAAATCATGGTAACTAGTAAGTTGGCACTTTGACGTTCCAATTTACGTACACCTGAATGCTAGGTAGCTGTTTTCAGGGTCTAGTTAGTTACAAAGCATGTTAGTGAGAAATCCCTTACACAGATCCGTTGTTATAGTCAACACTCAGTGACGAAGATTATCAACTGTCAAATCCGTTCTAGCAATACAGCAGGATGTTTATGTACCAAGAAATACGTTGGAGCACTCTCCCAATACACTCTAGACACATAAATTCAAACTAGGTACAATTTACTGGTTGAAAATCCGATTGAAAGTACCTACAACTAGTGACATATTTTTACTCATTTTAACGTTCAAATTAATTTGATGCTTCCCACTTACTACTTCCCCAATACTACAAAACAATCTTTCACAGCTGATGTGCACAGTATTAAAGTACTGTAACCAGGACAAGAATGACTGCAGTACAGAACAGTAGGTTAATATCAAACATAATACTCAGATCGTTAAGCGTAGCTCGAGCTCAGACCTGAACAGTTCCGATAAATAAGATAACAGCATGTGTAAACTGAACCCAATCATAATTCGAAGAAGACTGAACCCAACTTTTCAGAAAATTTGAAGGTAAAGAAACGTACCTAACCTCCAAATGCACTCAAACGCTACGGGAAACCCAACTATTAGATCAATTTATTACGGACTCAAACCTACCTCACGACCTTGACCCAACATTCCTTCAATCGAACAAGATGTCAGTATTTCCGATTTCACATTCAAGTAGTAAAGGCAGGACTCCGACTGCTTATGCTGGTCCCTTCATGTTTATCCTTTGTGAGTCCTCAGTATTTCCATGAACAACTTAACTGAAGGTGTTGAATGCGAAAACCATTCCAGATCGTTACCCGTTGCCTCACATTCACGATTTGACAGCTATCTTGAAAGGTACAACTGTCTTTTCGAAAATCGACTTGTTTAAAGCGTATAACCAAATCCCTACGGCTACAGACGATATACCGAAAACAGCTATCATAACTCCTGGACTCGGTGAATTTTAGCGAATGCCTTTCGGTCTAAGAAACGCTGCCCAAACATTCCAAAGGTTCATAGACGACGTTTTTCGAGATCTCACCTTCGTACATGCGTATGTTGGTGACTGCCTAATTGCAAGTCCGGACAGAGAATCGCATCTCCAGCATCTATATCTTGTTTTCGACTGACTACAGAAACATGGCATTACTGTAAACATTCAGAAATGCCAAATCGGAACCGACTCATCAGACTTTCTAGGACACACTATCGATGCTCAAGTAATTCGACCCCTTAGAAGCAAATTGGCGGCCATTCTGGATTACCCAGAACCGACCACCGTCAAGCAACTACGAACGTTTAACGGCCTTGAAAGTTTCTATAGACCATTAATACCGAAATGCGCGTTACTCAAGAAACCTCTTTCCGACCAACTTCGTGGAAATGCGAAATCCATTAATTTGGACGACACCGCACGAAAAGCATCCTCCACAATTAGGGAACTTATCGCTGAAGAAACAATACCTGCTCATCAGGACACTGAAGCGCCCGTTAGCATCGCAGTAGACGCAATCGGAGGAATATTACAACAATGAGTTAACAACTGCTGGAAACTTTTGGCATTTTTCTCGTTAAGCTCCTCTTCAGACAAGTACTCACCTCCTGAGTCTTGACAACTGGACTACACTTCGCAGTTTACTTCAGACATCCAACACATTTCTGGAGCAAACAATGTAGTCGCAGACGCCTAATCTCGCATAACTTCTCTGAACAGTTTCCAAGAAATCGACCTTCTTAAACTCGCCGAGCTTCAAAAACAAGACACTGATCTTCAGAACGAGTTATCGTCTACAACCCTTAAACTACGCATCAAACAGATGGGGACAGGTAAGGAAACATTACTTTGTGACACATCTACAGGTAGGGATCTCCCAGTCGTGCCGAAACATTATCGATGCAACGTCTTCAATACATTGCACAAACTTTCTCGTCCAGGTGTTCGTGCAACCATCAAGCTTATAGCAAAACGGTTTTGCTGGCCTGGAACGAACAAAGACGTGAAGGAGTGGGCACGCTCCTGTGTAAGCTGCCAGAAAATCTAAGGTTATCAGACACAATAAATGTCCCTTAGGCTCATTTAAAACTCGTGATGCTCGTTTCGACCATGTCCATCTGGATTTGGTAGGACCCTTGCCGGATTCAAATGGATACTCTTATCCTTTAACCTGCGTAGACCGTTTCACTCGATGGCCAGAAGCAGTACCTATCACGGACATCACTGCTGAAACAGTGGCCCTCACCTTCGTCGAATGATGGGTAGCAAACTTCGACTGCCCTTCAACAATCACTACAGACCGCGGACGGCAGTTTGAATCCGAATTTTTTCGTTGTCTGACCACACTTTTAGGAATCACTCGTTTAGGAACGACGGCCCACCACCCACAAGTAAACGGGTTGGTAGAACGTTTTCACCGATAACTGAAAGCTTCACTATCAGCCGCAAACGTTTCACAGTGAACCGATGCTCTTCCACTCGTCTTACTAGGTATTCGCAATGCAGTGAAAGCTGACATTGGACACACTGCGGCTCAACTCGTTTATGGAACGGCATTTCGACTTCTAGGAGAATTTGTGGATCCTTCATCCTCTTCAATGAACATGGATCTAACTTCCTGTATGAACAGGCTTACAAACGCAATGCGTTCAGTTAAACCTACTTCCACTCGACCTCAATCAACTGATGTTTTCGTTCAACCTGACTTGTGATATAGTGCACACGTCTTCGTATGTCGAGACTCGCACCGAAGAGCTTTCGAATCAGCATACGAAGGACTTTTCAAAGTTCTTCAACGTGAACCGAAGTACTATGTAATCGATAAGAACGGAACCAACGATAGCATCAGCATCGATCGCCTCAAAGCAGCGTATTTAGGAGGAACTCCTATTCACGTCGATTTCCCTTCGGTACAATCGAACGAAACGACTACGACACTTATAATACCTCATCAGACAACCAACACGCAGGATGATACTTCGACGGTATCTGAAAATAAACCGAAACAACGCGTTCTGGAAGAGTAAGATTTCCAGAACATTTAAATGACTATTGCACATAAGACACCAGTTAACAGTTTGTTTCATATCGATTTTCCATGGCATTATGTGTAATATAAAAAAAAATTTATATGCTTATATTTATATATCATTATTTGGCTAATATGTATAATAAAATATAAAAATAAAACAAAAAAACATTTTGTAAAAATCACTTTTAGGTTATTGACCTTTTTTCGCCGACTTTGTGTCTTAAAGCGCGTACGAGTTTATTTCGACATGCACTTACATATTCTTTCTTCTGTGGGTGACCCAGAAACGGCTGGAACATTTGATGTCATGGGATTATTAGGACAGGATCCAGAGCTTAGATAACCAACACTAGGTTGTCCAACTTGAGGATATGATGAATTAAAATTAGCAGGTAGCTGAAGGTTAGAATAAGTAGGCAATGGATTAGCATTGCAGGGTATTGTACAAGAGGTTGGATTCGCGTTTACATTCACAACCATACTTAACCCAACCATCGATACAGGATTGTCACCGGAGCTATCACTTAAACTTGCTGTACTGCTGGCACGGACAGGTGACAACTGGAAAGTAGCTGCATTATTTGCATACTGAATTCCTGTTACTGACGTAATAATCATTTGATCGTTGCTTGCGCAGCTCGTAGTCACAGCTTCATTCAGCGACGGGATGTAATTATGGTTTACTCCAACCATTTGATTATCAAGAGAATGGGCACCTGTATGGGAAGGACTCTGTAGACGAGGATTTTGTGTCGGACTGGTTGAACCACAGGATGAATATAATGACCCAGGCATGAATTTAAAGATTTCATCGATACGCTTTGAACCACGTTCTTGGCAAACCATTTTTTTAGGTTTCGGTGTATGACCTTCATCAGAACTCACTCATTCTCGCCGTTTCTTTGTGCCATTTCGGGATGGCAACGAATCACCTTGTCCACCAGGAGTTGGAGTATGTGGTCCTATCGAAGGAGATAAGTGGTATGTAGGATTGTTTGTTTCGATAAATGCTGCAGATGGTTGGACGGAAATTTGGAATGTGGGATACGGAGCATTTTTTTCCTCTACAAATGTATAGGGTTGTTTCACAGGACTGTTGCTCGCAACAGTGGTTGGGGTGTGAATAGAGCTCGACCTTGAAACATACTGCAGACCTTGGGGCGAACCAAGAGGATTTGCTGGGATACCAGGAGCCAAAGCTTCAATCAACTTATCGTCCGATTTTACGAGGGAAGTAAGAAGACCGTCATTTGATGTGTTGTCAGACTCTCCTACAGAACTTGAAGGGATTCTCTTTTTTTTGAGTCGTAGGTGAAGTCACATAATCTTCTTGCGTCTGAACGTAGATCTGAGAATCTTGAACATTAAGACCCGGACTAGTGACCTCCAGTCGATTAATGTTATGGCAATTCGGGTTATGCAACTTTTTGCCTGGATCTGTTGCACTCGGAATTCTTTCATTGATTTCAACTGATATCGAAGGAACTACTGTGGAAACCGGCTTAATCTCACTGCTACTGTTACTTAAGTCATGTTCACCGACTGAACTGAATGGACTGGAAGAACCACGTAAAACTGAGTGTTCTGGGGTGCCGGAAGGTTCTTCTGTTATTGGAAACATAAATCCAGAAGCATAGGAATTAGACTTTGTGGAGTGAGGCACATTATTGGTTGACCTTATATGGTTAGTTCCCTGAATTCTAGCTTCCAGAAGTTCGTGTTTACGTGGATTTACACGAAGAGGCATAGCAAAGGTACATATCCATAGGAACAAAACAGTAACTAGATAATCGCACACACAACATCCACAGCCATCTGAAGATTCCGAACGCAGAATCTTCTAAGTGTTTGTGCAGAGTTCCCGAGACCGATGAAGATGGGCGAAAATTCGCAGATTTGAGAAAGCAGTTTAAGGTTTGTTTTTTACAACCTCAGGAATTCGGTCATTCGCTTTGACATGATAGGTTTCCCAGAAATCAGTTTCACTTTATAAGGTTACTATGAGGTCGTGGGTGTGTGGCGAGTGGTAGCGATTGGGAGCAGTTTTGTCATTCAGTCGCTGACAGCCACCATTTGAACGCCAATCGCTGCTGTTCTTTTTGATAACTGTGCTAAGGAGATGTCTACAAGGTGTTTGGTGGCTGGACAATTCCCAAATTTATCATGTACTATTCTCAGCTATTCAACAGCCTGTGGCGGCGAGTTCGAAAATATAGGTGCGCACTTAGTCGAGATATGGTGTGCAACAGCGTTAGTTACACATGACAATTTCGGTCGCATTCGGTACGGTTCAGGGCAATTGTCGAGTATCCGTTGATAGTATGGGTCGATTACGTGCTTAGTGGTGACTGGGGATAATCTATAACCACAGGATTTAGTTATATAGATAGGCAATTTGGCATTTCGATATACAAACCTCCGTGTCGATAAGTGGATTATGGTGCTGTAGCAGGTCTGTACCAATGATTGGCACAGAGACACCTGCATCAACGAAAATCCAGTGAATGGGTTTGCACAAACTCATGTTAAGGTAAACACTGTATGGGGATCCGTCTACCATTTGCCGCCTGTAAATTGTAAATGGTCTTGGCATTGCGGGATAAACGAATAATTTTGATCTAATGTCGATATGATAAGGAATTTGCCACAACATCAATGATATCTTACAGACGATTACGTCCACAAAGTAAGGTTGCCGTTAACGCGTATCGGTAGGAAATTTCCCAAAAAGATTTACGTGTCGGATGGTTTGAATATAGGGAAACTGCAGGGTATTTTGCGGTTTCTGGAAGACTTGCCATCCTTTCCATAAGCCAATCAGGATTACTGCCTCTCGTGGTCTAGAGACGAGCTTCTTCGAGGGGTTTGAGAGCGTCTATGATTATGATAACTATTTAGATAACTAGTGAGAGTAACGTTCCTGTCAAAATCGTGCCGTATTGCCTCCATTACTGCGAAGAATGGTGTATACGGAACCCAGCTTTTGAGTATCAGAACCGGGCTTCGATATTGATGGTTCAGAGTGACATAGGTTGAAAGGTGGAATGCGAAAGAGTCCTAATATCAAGGAGCCTAGGTGTCTGTTTCGTCATAACATAGTTGAGATATTTAGAATGGCGAGAAAAAGAATATCCGAAAACATCAAGACAGTGTCATTATATGTGAAAATAGGAAAAACTCACGGTTAGTTGCTTTGTGTACCAGATCACGTCGAGCTCACCACGAGGGGTGCCACAAGTAGATGGAGTTTGACAACGCCCTTGTAATCGAATTATACCAACTCAGTCAAGTCAGAAGTCTGAAATGAATGAGTTCGAAGATATATTTGGAGAGCTATCGATATATCGAGAACCGTTTGGTCTAAGCTAGCTAACAATTGCACGGTGTATCCACTCGTGAGCTAATGAGGATGCGGGACCAAGCACCCCCAGTCAGGGTGTATCCAGTAAAACTAATGAGGTATGCTTAAATGTCGAGGATTCGCATAACTTTATCATGAGATGTTTTAATCGCTACAAATAGAACATGTCGAAGCGTGGAGTGCTGGAGAAATTTGCAGACGCACAATCTCACATGATGAGTGATATAGTTAACATAAATCCATTCATAATACACCTTAGACAGAAGTAGAAATCATGTGAAGTTTCACGTTTTTAAAGTATCAAAAAAATTTATATGATATTTAAAAGGCATAAATTAGGTCCTCAAACCTTCGTCCATCTAATCATCTCGGATACACTCATCATGATTCTGGGAAACTTCGTTCTTCCTCGAGTCAAATTCGCTGAACAAACATACATTGAAAGTGAAAACTCTGCTGAAGCCCGGTTCTTTAATCTTGCAGAAGATCTGAAATTATTTGAAAATGTTAGGTTAGCAACTCATTGGATAAACAGTTGGACGCTGTCACGCTTATATGTGTGTATGCAAACGAGGAACCCCTAATTGACAAACTCCCAATCCTGACTTCCTTGAGGAAAAGTGATCACGCCGTCATAGACTTTAGCGTTGTCAGCGAAACTGAGCTAATACATCTTGTCAATAACAGGCGATGAAATTTCAAACTTCTGAATGTGTCAGCTTTGTACAGCAATTTACAGCAGGTGGGCTGGAAAGTTCACCCTCAACTCCAATCCAAAAGACTCATTTTGTCATGCAGCCGCTCTTTGGCAAGTCAAAACCAGAGTTTCGCAACTGCTAGGTCCTAATGACCCATACAAAAACGACGGTGATGCCGCCGACCTTCTGGCAGAACAGTGCTTTCGGACACCGACTGACACATACTAACTATATTGATGAGAGCTTCACCTGAAACTCAACAGGTCTCTCAGAATTGAACCCGAGCACTGACTTGGTGTATAGGGCCAGTGAAATGTCAACGAGCCCTAGCAAAATTATCCGGCAGTTGGGTCACTGGATATCGAGCAATCATCGATCACCGTCAATGTCAAGGACTCCCAATGCACATCGGTTAACCGTATGCCATGGACTGGCGCATGAGGTGGTGGTCTTGATATCTTTTATTTAATTACGGCTCCTTATGGTTTAGTGGGATGTCAAGAATTTATGGTATTGATGCTGACTTATCATGCAAAATACCTCATTAAATCGTGTTACGAACGTTGAATTGGTTTCACTTCCTATCCAGAAATCCTATTACAAGCAAACCAGACAATTCGCTAATATACGAAGCCTACTCAAGACCCTATGATGCCTAAAAAAATAATAACACAAAGAAATGAAAAGGGCTTCAACAGCTTCGATAAAAACAGGAAGCTGGTCAATTATATACCACAATACTGTTTTTAGCACTATATTTCATAACCACACATAATCCTATACTCTCAGCTCCTTTCCGAATCGCCTCCATTTGTCAGTTGTATGTCCACTCATACCTTGTTTACACTTATTTTCTTTAACCTATTAAAATGCTCTTGCTTAACGAATACCTTAATAAAAGAAAATTAGATTGAGTAATCATACCTTAAACATTCGTTCATGAATATTGGCTACTCTGCCTCTCGTCCTTTCTTTTACTTGCTCCCTCTTTCAGCCCCCTTGAGATATGGAACGGGTGACTTCATCCTGCACCATCCTTAAAGCCTCAGATATTCCAAAGGGACGTAAGGTCGCGATTCCTAGAAGCTCCCACCTTCAATGGATCTATCCTTGACCATCAGTTGCACATTCGTGATGCGACTTTCGTGAAGTGCGCCAACTGTAGTGCTGATTAAAACCATCTACATTCATACCTCATAAATTATCAACCCAGCTGAGCAATTTACTACAGTAGATACTGTGTCATTTGTAACACTTTGATCTTGCCTGTAAACTGGCATGCTTCCTGTAACAAACCGTTATTTGAGAATTATTATTATCTTCACTGCACTTATTCTTACCGATGTATTTCTGTAGTAACTTCGTTTATGTTGTGCGGTTTTTAAAGTAGCCATAGTACCTTGATACGTCGAAGGGGTAATCCACGTGTGATGCTGACCAGGAGGTGTAACTTCTAAGTTAGCTGGTTCGTCACACCATTCCCGTCCAACTCGAGGATGCCTCCAACCATTCGACATAGATCATCTACATTGGTGATCCACAGGTGTACCGGAAAATGCAGCACCTAAAAATGACGTTTCTCCTGGCCTGGATAAAGTCCATCCTACTATGCTAAGTGAAGCAGCATCAATCTAGTCAACACCACTTGGCGTGATGTTCTCATATTCGCTAAGCCAAGACAAATTACCGAAAAATTGGAAGCTGGCTCACTACACACCAATTTTCAAAGGAGGTGGACTCGGCGAACCTTCACCTAATGTCCGGTAACACTTCTCTCTATACCCTCA